GCTCTGCCTGCTTGTTGTGTTGATTGTACCCCACTTTGACTATGGGGGTGTGTCAGAATGTAATGGTTGTCTAGCCTGCAGTGGGGTACTCTATAGCGAGTACAGCCCTTCTAGGGTTTGCTATATGTATCCCTATGCTCGTTAGTGAAAACCCTCTTTGCCTATTTCTCGATTGCGCCTAGCCTGTTTAACTTGGGGGTGTGTCAAATGTTGTAGCCTATAGTGAGGCATGTCATATGGGGTACATTTCTTAGGGTTAGGTTTATGTACCCCAACCAGGCCCTCAGATTCGTTTTGGGCCACACTTTCTCATCAGTGTTGGTCCCAAAAAAAAAACTTTCTGTCAGGGTCGTTACAAAAATAAACCCTGAAAAAACAGTGTTGTCGCAAAAAAAAAAAAAAGAAAAAAAAAAACTTTCTCGTCAGGGCTGGTACATTTTATAACGCTGATGTAACCAGCCTTCATCATAATGTGACGGGAACGGGGGGAGGGAGACAGTGGTGGTGCAGCAATGGTGGTCCAGGTTAGGCAATCGCATGTGCTAAGAAAGGTCTCTGTTTTGTCACGTTATCAGACAAGTGCTCGCAAGCAACAGTAAGGAATGTTCCTCAACAACCTTTCGGGAGCTTTGCGCAGTGCCACGTCACCCCACGCTTTCTGTCTCGCACTTTGCCAACCAACAAAACATGAAATGAAGAGTCAGTTAGCCAAACAAATGATACCTGAGGCAAGTCTGACAATACGTAGATAAGGGGGGTGTAGGAAACAGCCCTAAGATGCCGTTTCACGTGATTGACGGTGACGGCGAAAATTTTGGTCGAAAATTTTGGTAGATTCATCGAATCTAGGCAATTTTGCTAACATGGATGGCCCCACTACTGTATGATTTGAATCAGGGTCCCCTAGCAAAAGTAGGCTGAGAATTCAGGCCTGGTACAAGAAAGTTAGCTGAAAAAACAGTGTAGGCTTAAAAAAAAAAACTTTCTCATCAGGGTTGGGACCTAAAAACACCCTAAAAATCAGGGTTCAAAGGCAAAATCAGGGTAAAATTCCTGCAATCTGAGGGCCTGACCCCAACCAACACTGTCAATGCAACACTTTCTGCTCAGTAGAGCAGTTGACCAAGATGCCGTATGCTCCATGAACCTTCACCGTTCTTAACCGCTACTCACCAACCTGGACAGCGATACATGAACAATTAACGAGCCAAAGCTTGACTTGTCAGGTTTTATTTTAGGCGCCTCGAAGATAAGCACTGCAAGCTCAGTAAATACGAGTCCTCTGATAAAAGGTACAATACCCACGTCTACCACGTCCTATCCACCTCTCACATCTCCTTTTTGGCAGCGTTGTGAAGTCTTCGGGTCAGAACGCAACTTGTCCGCTTGAGACCACAGGGAACCATGCCAGCGCCATGCAGATGTTCATTCCATTAGTGATTCTCCGTTAACAGCAAGCAAGGTGCTTGGTGCCCACCCGAGGGGTACAACGTGAGTCATTCTGTACCAAGCTGAGCAGTGCCTGCCCAGGAAACAAGAACACTCATGCACTTCACTAAAAGAAAAGGAACCTAGTTCAGATGGCTGGAACGCAAACCAGGAGCAGAGAGGAACTGCCAAAAAAAAAAAAAAAGAGAAACACGCAAGCAATGCTGCAGCAGCAGCAAGCGGGGTTGGAGGACAAGGTACTGTCTCTATATCCTCCATCCATCCATCACAGGAGAGTGGTGAAGTGGAAGGAGTCTTGTGGAAGGGTTTGGTTTGATGGTACATCAGCACGGGAGAAAGCTGAATGAGCTCCATTTTCTGCTCTTCATGCTGCCATGCCGACTCCTTGGTGCCACGCCGTGCATCCACTGGCAGTGCTGCTGATTGTGAAGCTTGTTCCGACTGAAAAAAAAAAGATCTTCTTTCTTGTAGCTCCGTTGATTGCCACGTGTCAGGCCATACACTGCCATGCTGATCGTTAACGGCCAGTTTTCTTATCCGCTGCTGAAGCAGCAACCGCTCGCTCTTGCGTATTCAAGCTTACAGAGCTGAGAACTAACCAAGAGACCGAGCATTGGTCAATCCTTTTCAGAGCAGTGAAAGCCAGTTGCGTTTCTTGCTCTGCTCCGCGACCTCCTCTGCTGTCCCCGTCTCCTCATCCCCTGTTCCATCAACCCTGTCACCTCCTGCTTCCCCCCTCTTGTGCTCCTCCTCCTTCTCCTCCTTGACATTCCTTTCCCGCCCCTGCCCACACCCCTCAGGGAGCGAACCATTCACCCATCCCTCCCTTCTGCCCTCTTCCCCAGTCAACTTTGGAGATTTAGCAAAAACCAATCGCTCTGCACCCTCCTCCCTCCCATTCACGGCCCATTTACGCTCCACCGATTCCAAACCGTGAGGTTCTCGAGACTCGGGTGCATGCAAGCCCATGTGAGGTAAGAGTGGACCTTGATTGTCAGCCGCACTTGATCCCAATGGTGGTACGAGGGATTGCTGAGAGTCATCAACCCCTCCCTTCTTTACTGCAGCTCGAGCCTCCCCCTGCTGCGTGCTTCCGTTTTTAGCATGCCTCAGCACGCTATCTTCGCTCGCTGCTGCAGGCGCCTGCACTCCCTGCTGCTCTCCTGCTGGCCTCTCTATCCCCTGCCCGCCTGCCTCCTCCTGCCTACCCAACGTGCTGCCTTCGCCTGCTGCTGCTCCCACTAGACTGCGCCCGGGTTGTGCCTGCTGTAGAGTGTTGCTGCTGCTACGAGCACTGCCGAAGCCTCCACCGCCCAGGGACAGAGTCAGGTCCTGCCCTGAGGGTGGTGATACCCGGGGTTGTCTCACGGGTGGAGGCGCCTGGGAGTGTGCCACAGGTGGCGACGGCTGTGGATGTGTGACAGATGTTGACACCCGGAAATGAGCGGTGGGTGCTGGTGTCTCAGACGGCGCAGGCAGTGACGAGCAAGTGCGGGGATGCGATCTGGGTGGTAGTGACAAGAGTGGTGCGGATAAGGGTGCTGCTGCTTCGGGTTGTGTGGCAGGAAGAGAAGGGGGAGCAGAAGTAGGGGAGGAAGTGGGAGGGGTAGGGAGGGTGGTGGTGGGGGTTGCAGAGGGGAAGGCATAGGGATGAGCAGGGAGGGCAGCAGAGGGTGGGGATGGGGTGAAACCAGGTGGTGGCACGAGAGGGGGGATGGCATTGTTTGCATGGATGTGGCTTATAAATGTGCCTTGCTGTTGCTGTTGCTGTTGGTGCTGCTGTTGATGGTCCTGTTGTAACCCCCTGTTGCTGCTGCTGCTGCTGCTGATGTGGATACTGTTGTTGCTGATTTGGATGGTGCTGCTGCTGATGTGGGGGCTGCAGCGGATACAGACGCTGCTGTTGTACCACGGTCTGCTGAAGTTGCGCGTTCTGCCAGCTCACCTGCTGCTGCCTCATCTCAGCAGCAGCTCCCACCATTTCACCTCCAACCTTCTCCTGCTGCGCACCCAGCACCACGCTACCTGGGGCGTGTATGCTGGTCACTCCTGCTCCTGCCTCTTCTCCTGCTCCTGCTGCCGCCACTGCTGCTGATCCTGACTCTGGTTGTGCACTTGCTGCCGCCTCTGCTGCTGCTGCCGCTGCTGCTGCTGCGGCTGCTGATATGGCATTTGCTGATCGGGGGACTGCGGTTGGCGCGACACTTCGTGGAAAAACGGTGGTACGAGATGGGGGGGTTAAAGAACCAGGGGGGGAAGTTACCCCTGAAAAAGGTTGAATCGCTGCTGGAGGGGGTGGCGGTGTGGTCGCAGTGGAAGGCGGTTTTGACGTAGAAGCTGGGGAATTTACCCCAGAAAAAGGAGGCGGTGGCAGGTGAGTGTGCGGGGGTTGAGACAGGTTGGGGGTGAAAAGAGGTGGTGGCATGGGAGTGTGGGGGGTTTGAGACAAGTTGGTGATGAATGGACTTGAGTGGAGTTCTCCAGGATTGTAGGTGGCAGACGTAAGAGGGGTTGCAAAATGCTGTTGTTGTTGCTGCTGTTGTTGCTGCTGTTGCTGCTGCTGCTGCTGGTGCAGTTGTTGCTGTTGATGTTGCTCCTGCTGTTGCTGGTTGTGCTGTTGCTGCTGCTGCTGGTTCTGGTGCTGAAGATGCTGCTGCTGCTGCTGCTGCTGCTGCTGCTGCTGCTGCTGCTGCTGCTGCTGCTGCTGCTGCTGCTGCTGCTGCTGAAGAATTCGTTGCTGCAGCTGCTGCAGCAGTTGCTGCTGAAGCTGCTGCTGTAGCTGCTGCTGCAGCTGGTGGTTCAGTTGCATCGACGACGGACCCATGGGACCAGCAGCAAAACCGGGGTTCCCGAGAAGGGAGCTAGAGCTGCTGCTGCTGTGACCCATGCAGCTGGGAACGGCCAGAGAAACCGCAACGGCTGGAAGCACGCTGTTCGAAGCGGTAGAAGCAGGGGCGAAGGGGTTAGCATTCGCACCATCCACTGCACTTGGTGTAGCATCAGGAACTGCCACAGAAGCAGCAGGGTGTGGTGTCCCGTTTGCGGTGGCAGCCCAATTGGCTGGACCATGTGTCACTCCCGCGTTGGCAGGAGAAAAAGGGTGTGCTGCCCCGTTAGGCGCAGCAGTGGCAGCAGCAGCAGTAGCAGTAGCAGGATGAACGGCTGCGTGGGGCGCAGCAGCAGCAGCAGCAGCAGCAGAAGAGTTTGCTGCCCCGTTGGGTCGGCGGAGAGATGCAGCAAGAGCAGAGAGGGTCGCGGCAGAGGGGAAAGAGGACGAGGGGGAAGCAGAGGAGGAGGAGGGGAGGGGGAAGGAGGGGAAGGCGGAGGGGGGGAGCCACGGCAGCATGGCGTGCACGCGCATGTGCAACTGCGCCTGCAGCGCCTCCACCTCCATGCGCAGCAGCTGTCTCTCCTGCCGCACCTCCTGCTTCTCCGCTGACAGCTGTCACAGGAGATGGGCGGGTGGGGGGAAAGGGCGGGTGGTCAATTGGTGAGGCGCCTAAAAACAGCTGCCGCTCCTGCCGCTCCTCCTGCTTCTCCGCTGACAGCTGTCACAGGGGATGGGCGGGTGGGCGGGAGGGTGGATGGGTGAGGGTGTGAGGGGGCAGCCACGGCAGCATGTGCAGCTGCGCCTGCAGCGCCTCCATCCGCAGCAGCTGCCGCTCCTGCCGCACCTCCTGCTTCTCCGCTGACAGCTGTCACAGGGGATGGGCAGGTGGAGGGTGGGTGGGAGGGCGGTTGAGGCGCTTCAAAAAAGCTGGCGCTCCTGCCGCACCTCCTGCTTCTCCGCTCACAGCTGGCTTGGGGATGGGCGGGGTAGGTGGGTGGGGCGGATGTGTGAGTAGTAGTAGGGGGGTAGTGGAAGTGGGTGGGTGTGTGACTGCAGATGGATGGGTGAATGTGGGTGAAGGTGGGTGATTGGAATCTCGTGCAAGGATCCAACGGCCGAGCCATGACATGGAGGAACGGGACGGGCGCTCCGCTCACCTCCTTGGCTTCCCCCGACAGCATCTGGTGCTCCGCCCTCAGAGCAGCCACAGTGGAGCGCAGCTCGCTCAGCGCCGCCAGACTTTCCCCCAGCACTGTTGCCTTGTCGCTCTTGGGCTTGTTGGGATCTGCCAGAGGCAGCAGACGGCAGGGGGCAGAGAGCAGAGAGCAGAGAGTGGAAAGAACGGTAAGCAGATTGAACGTTGTGAATTGGAGTAGAGCGCAGCTCCCTCAGCGCTGCTAGGATGTCCCCCAACACCGTTGCCTTGTCGCTCTTGGGCTTGTTGGGATCTGCCAGAGGCAGCCGACGAAAAGGGAGAAGAGACAGGAGACAGAAGAGGGGACAGAGGAGACAGGAGAGGGGAGAGAGGAGACAGGAGACAGGAGAGGGGAGAGAGGAGACAGGAGACAGGAGAGGGGAGAGAGGAGACAGGAGACAGGAGAGGGGAGAGAGGAGACAGGAGACAGGAGAGGGGAGAGAGGAGACAGGAGACAGGAGAGGGGAGAGAGGAGACAGGAGACAGGAGAGGGGAGAGAGGAGACAGGAGACAGGAGAGGGGAGAGAGGAGACAGGAGACAGGAGAGGGGAGAGAGGAGACAGGAGACAGGAGAGGGGAGAGAGGAGACAGGAGACAGGAGAGGGGAGAGAGGAGACAGGAGACAGGAGAGGGGAGAGAGGAGACAGGAGGCAGGAGGCAGCAGGGAGTGGATGAGAAGAAACGTCGCCTTCTGTCTGTGAAACGGAGCAGCGCGTAGCAAGTTATGGAGTTCTAAAAGGCTCTCTCCCAGCAAGCAGTGCTGCCTCGTTGCTCTCGGGTTTCCTAGCAGGGTCAGCCAGGGACAGCACGCGAGCAGCGGGACGACTTATAAGTCGGCTCATAAGGCTCCGAGCCTTCAGCAGGTGGTCTGCCAGAGACAGCACGCGAGCAGGAGACCTCCTAATAGGGGCTTAGGGAGGATGCTGGAAAGACACCATGATGGAGCACCGAGCGGAGCTCAAACTCGCCCAGTGCCGTCCAGGCTCTCCCTACTAAAGCTGTCGGAACTGTCGCTCTTGGGTTTTCTGAGATCTGGCAGGTCTGCCATAGATAGGCAGTCGAAAAGGACACGGAGCTCCAACGTTGCACACCAAGAGCAGCCCCAACGGGAGTCTTTCCCGCTTGACAATCGTTGTGCTGATCGTGGGCTTTCTGGAACAGCCAGAGAAACAGAATCAGATTCGTGATCTCCAGCAACCAGAGCTCAAACACATGATGCAGTATGCCCCCCATCAGCTGCTTGCGCTGACGTTTTTTTTCCTAAAAAATAACAGGGTCGAGCGGGTAGACAGGAGTTTAACTGGATGCTTCGGATGATGATGGCCAACGTCTGAAGGGGAACGGTGCGGAATTATGAACCTTGATGACTCAGGAACGCAATCATGGGGATTGATAGTCTTGTTGGACTCGGAGGGATGATGTGCAGGATCATCCTGATGGGATCTTGAAACTTCATTAACACTTCTTCCACAGCATTCTTGGAGTGTCTTTTAATACCAACAGTTGACAATACTGCCAATGGGGTCGCGAGACGCGGCGCGCTCCCATCAACTCGTCGAATTGTGCTGAAACAAGACGTATGATCGTTGCTTCAGAGCTTTGAAGGTTCAAGGAGACTTTAAGAAAGAGCCATATTCATAACATATCCATGTAGAACGTCCGAGTTATTAAGAGGAGCTCTTTGAATCCCCCAAGAGTCTTCAAAAAGTTCTGGAACGTCTTCATCAACATCGCCCGTACGCTGGATAATCGGCCTTTAAATAGTAGGCTTTTCCTAAAGCCAATGTTGCAAAACTTTAACGTCCAGCGCTAGTAGGGGACTACTCACCAAGCACTGTCGCGAGCTCAGTGAATTGATCGTTCAGCTTGTCACGACGCAATTTCTCTCTGTCTGCTTTCTGAAGCTTCTTATCGGAAATTCCGTCATCTCCGCACCCCTTACCCCCCTCTTCCTCCGGTTCCGCTGATCTTAGGCTTGTGAGTTGTCGTAACTCATCGTCTGTCATGGTTGCGAAAAATAAATAAATTTGGAAACACAAAACACGGACCTCCGTGGAGAGATACTAATGAGCTACAGATAATCCTCCATTTTAAAAGACACTTGTTCTCCGGAGCTCCAAAAACACAAAACTGACTGTACTAGAGTTTTCATGCTCATGATTGAGTGGAGTGGAACAATAGCCTCCGTGCCAGAAGCTGAGGTGAGGACTTCCAGCTTCGCTGCAGAGTTAACTCTCTGGCTTGAAAAGTTGGTTGGGGGAAGGTGATCCTCCTCACTCTCCAGCTGGAATGAACCAGCGTGTGACTCGTCCCGTCGCCACTCGTCGTCACTCTCTCTCAGCCCGTCCAGGCTGGAAGGAAAACGGTTCAATCGTCGCAGAGGATCGAAGAGATCACGAAAATGTGGCGTCCACGGACTCCACGCACAAGCGTAAAACCTGGGGGGGCTGTCGCGCAGCAAACGGACAGCGAAGGCAGCGGAGGCAGACAACAAGGATAAAATGAGATGGGGTCAATCGACCCTTGAGAAGGCGAAGGGATCTTCGAGGGGCATCCATCCATTTTGTTGTGTGGCGTGTGTGGTGTGGTGTTGAAAGGGATGCGATTTGGGAGGGATGCGATGCGATGCGTGTTCAGGCGACGGAAATTCCAACTGCTGTAGGGGAAAAAATGTGTGTGCCGTGAAGTCGAGCTAAATAACACAAGGGGAACTCCCAGTTTTCCTGGTGTACATCAGGCACTGGCGCTTTATTAATACAAGTGAAAGTGTGTTTGAAAAAAAAAAAACAAACACGGCAAGGCTCCATCTCCATTGTGTAGCGTGGAACATCCAAGCCCATCCACTTGCGATGGGGCCCGCTAATCAATGACTACCACACTTCGCACCTGTGTTCAAGTTCACTCACTACAGTACCGACGTTTGTTTGAGCATCTGCTTTCAGAAACTCAGGACGTGGCCCAGACCGGGTCTGATCGGCAGTGATCTGCTCGGGTTGGATCTGATCGGGGCGACTTTGATCGCGCGGCGCGTGCCGCCCAATCAGAGCCAAATCCTCGAATGTGATGGGATGGTGCATGGCAAGCACAAACACATTTTCCACCAGCTTCGGGCCAAATTTGGCGCCAGCGAAAGGCATGAGCACTGCTCCAGCGATAACTGTGTCACCCTGTAATTTCGCAAAATGAGACAGCAACGCTACGACGGCTCCACAAAATCCTGAATGTTCTTGCAGTCGTGGAGGTAAGGCGAGGGCTACTCGAAACCTAGACGAACAATGTAACTTTTCGCTGGCGTCGCATAGGGGTGCAACCCAACGCAATCAACTGATCGTGCGTGATTGTGTGTGATTGTGTTTGATTGGGGTGTTTGAGGCAGTTGATCGAGATGGGGCGATCAGCTGATCGCGATCAGCTGATTGCCCCCGATTGCCTGAAATTGGCCTTGGGGCTTCCTGGAAGTTAATGACCGCTTCTGATCGAGGCAATCAGAAGCGGTCTGGGCCACGTCCTCAGAGAAAGGTGCAGTTCGTTTCCTTAATTGAAAGACAGGAGAAATCTGCACGAAACACAAATACGAAGAGCCTGCGCTATTTTCGACTACTGGGACGATGGTACTTACGACGGGAGGGTGTGGGTGGGTAGTGCAAACCAACAATTGCCGTGTGCGAATTTGGAACTTCTGGGTGGTGTGGGTAAGCATAGTGAAGAGGAACATCTTTCGCTGGGCTACGTTATTACGATCACCCATCCGTTCAAATGAAACAAACTCAAAACTCAGCCATGCCACTTCTCAACCAACCACCGCACACGTGCTGCCTGGCCTTAATGAATCGTAGCATACGTCAGGGATGCGCAATTTTCGTGTGGCTGCTGGTAAGGGGACCGTGAAGGCGTTTGTATGTGTACTGTATTGGACTTGACATGACACTATGTGTTTCCCAGGGCAGTCTGAAGTAATGAATTGCGACTGTGTGCAGTTCAATCAAACTTTTCCAGCAAAGAGGTAGCGAGGAAGAATGGGATTTATTGCTGGTACAAGTCTAATGAAGTTGTTAGAGTACACTTGCTGTCTGAAAAAAAAAATACAACAGAGCTTTGCGATTCAAATCACTGCTTCGATTGAAAACATTGGCCCGCTGATCTTGATAAGGTTCCCGCAGATCCAATCAGAAATCAATTTCGTTCCTCGCGTCCCGGAAAAAAAAAAATGAGGAAGAAAATACGAGACTGGTCAGGACAAGACTTTTCAAACGCGGGTGGTGGCGACATTTTACATCAAGCATTGAATGGAAAGTATTTTACTGTACACCACAAGTCAGTCTCAGTCTCTGTTCACAATACGGTAACTTTGCTTACAACACAGTGGGAACTTTTGGCTGACCTCACGAATGCGGTTGGTAGGATGATGACTGCGATGCGCAGCCCCATCGGTACGATCACGTGCGTGATCTCATGTCGTGGTCGCCTGAACTCCGGCAGCACCGAGCAGCACATCGCGTGTTCGGCGTGGTAGCAATCACTGCAGACGAACTTAAGGAAACGGCGCCAGTGGAAAAAAGCAACCCTATACGACGACAGACGACAAACCAATAATTTCGGATGGTTAGGGCATATGCTTATCCCGTGTCAGACATCAAGTCATCAGCCCTTAGTCTCCAATTTGTCTCTTCCTAGCCTTCAATCGCCCCACAAACGAGCCACTTCGAGGTTTCCGAACCTAAACTTCGTGTCACCCTTGTGTCTGACACGGGATACGAATGCGCCCTTAGCCGCATTTACATTCATTAGCTTTCCAGAATGGTTTCCAAAATTTACACTCTTGTGGGCATAAATCCCTCATCCACCTGCTATTCTCATATGAAGAAGAATAAGCAGCTCTATATCCTTCCTGTCCGTGGCAGACTGACCTAACCTTTATCAACCCACACAACTACTTGTCCTGATCAGGCAGGGAGGCTAAAAGAAAAGAATTTAAGATCACTTGAAGTTTGCCGCCCTTTTTCCCCATTGCAAGAGGGGTTTACTGGGGTGCCCCCTCTCTAATCTCCACCCCCAATTCCAATAGATAGCAAGGCACATGATGGATAAATGTTAAACTCGTAGCAGACACGTGTCAAAGTATAAATTGCTCTGTAGGCTGTAGTGGGGTACTCAACAGAGACTACAACCCTTTTAGGGTTTCGCTTTATGTACTCCCTATGCCTGCTAGTGCAACCCCTCTCCCTTCTCTTATCATTCCTGCTGTTAGTTTCTAAGATACTAGAAGAGCAGTTAAGATCCTAAGACCTAATGGGCCCACCATTAGCTTCCGCTACATGCGCCACTCTGCTGCCCGTCGCGCGCCCCGGGCGCGCGTCGGTCTTCTGCCCGTCGCGAGCCCCGAGCGCGCATCGATTTCCTGCGCGTCGCGCGCCCCGGGCTTGCGACGGTTTCCTGCCCGTCGCGCGCCCCGGGCGCGCAACGGTTTCTGTCCGACTGCACGCCCTGCTGTCGCCCGCGCAGCTCCTATCCCCCCCCTTCTCCTCCATCTTCCTGCTGCGCGTGCAGCAGTTGGGGGAGGGTATGGGGGTGGCGGTTGTGGTATGGGGGTGGCGGGTGTGAATAACCAGCTGCCGCCCCTCCTCCTCTCTCTCCCACTGCCGCACATGTCACTGTGGGGGGGGGAGGGTGTAGGAGAGACGAGGGAGTGGCGGTAGGGATGCCGAGGGGTGTGAAAGGGAGTTTTGGGAAAATGGGGGAGGTTGAAGGGGGTGGCCGCCGTGAAGCCAGCAGCTCCAGTTGTCCGTGAGCTCGTTGCCCCAGTCGCCCGTGAGCCCGTTGCTCCAGTCGCCCGTGAGCCCGTTGCTCCAGTCGCCCGTGAGTCGGTTGCTCTAGCCGCTCGTCGTAGCCGCAGAGCCAGTTACTCCAGTTGCCCGTGTGCCAGTTGCTCCAGTTGCCCGTGTGCCAGTTGCTCCTGTTGCCCGTGTGCCAGTTGCTCCTGTTACCCGTGTGTCAGCAGCTTCAGCTGCCGCCTACCGCCTCCTCTCCTCTCATGGTCGCTCCTCCTCCTCACTTGCCCTCTGTTTCTTCCGATAAACTCTGCATGTGAACTGGCCATGTGGCCGCTTGCTTGTGCTTGGAATGCGTGGTGACTTTGTGATCCACCCTGAGCTTGCTTTGTTTTTCTTGACTGCTCTTGTGACCGCTTGTTGTGTTTGCTATCCCCCACTTCGCCTATGGAGGTGTGTCAAAGT